TAATTTGGCCTCGCTTTGCTTGTGGCAGACTCTGTCATCATTTTGGTCGCATTTTGACATTTCACATGTTGACAGACATGGTTAACAAACCATATCCTACTGAGGACACAGATGGATATGGTTCTGTGACCGAAATGTTTGCTGGGTCTTTCTTTTCTCGTGTGTGCTTTATCATCAGACGCGTGTATTTTTGTCCACATTTTTTGTACACTTTATTCAGATACATCGACGACTGTTTGAAAAATTGTAGTTGACGTACGATTCAAAGTTGCTACTTTTACTCTCAATGAAGAAAACAAAATTTGATTTATTTAACGAGAGAATCTGTAAAACTTTATATCAAAATGTCTTGTTTACATTTTACTGTTTGTTTTCGTAACTTAATCAGTTATAAAGAAAACGATTGAAAATTATCCCTTAATTTTCATAAATGAACATTTATTTTCATAAATAAACAAGTTGCCTTATGAAGAATGAATTCGTAAGAAATTACTTATTTCTGTACGCTTACGTCGTACATGTCGCTTTTTATATACTTTGCTGCAAGTTTTCTGATCGACATTTTGACTATTTCTGCTATGAATATTGAATGATTTTCGATTCTCTTTTTGCATGAATCCAAAATTACTTCAAAAATAAAAGAAAAACATTAATACACTGCTATATAATGAGTTGAGAAAATATATACATATTTTGAAGTATCGACTTTTTAAGCGCTGAAAAAGGAAAGCATAAAAAAACAATCAATACGCAGTAGAAAAATTGTTGACAAGTCGTTGGATCTCTTCACTTTTGCATTTTGCTTAGCCGTATATGTATCTTGTGATATTTTGCAAGTGTAAATCGCGCTTATTGTGAAATACGTGTGTCAAATGACAACATGTGAGCTATCTGTGTGCTTCGTGTATCAACGTATTGTACACATATTGCAAACGCTTCATATCGTGCAGCATGCCATAGTATCGTCTTATTTGATCTTACGGATAAAAGTCGTTGCAATTCAAAACGTACCTTGTGCTTCGAAACTGTCATATAAATAATACTCACACTCACACATATTCTGCAAAATTTGACAACAAATCGGAGATATTCGGAAAATTATCTTCCTTATACGCATATACGCCTCGTATATTAACAACGCTCAGTATAATTAACGCTCTCCATTTCGTATCACGTAGAATTATACATAGAGAAACTCCCATCGCATCTGAGAAAAATTATTTTTGTTAGCGAAACATAGAACATATTCCGAATGATAGAATAGTATCTCGTAAGAAGCGACACTAGTAACGTTATGAGGATAGAGCGCGATAGAGTTAGGTGAAAAAAAAAAATTGTATACGGTTATATGGAATTTATATTCTAGCTACTGGACATCAGCAAAAAAATAAAGAAAAAAAACAAGAAAAACAGTTTTTCTCGAGAAGAAGGGAAACTCTTTGAGTCATTCCAGTTTCTTTGTTCTTAGGGGAAGGGGAGGGGCGGCACGGTCAATCGACTCGCTGGTAGTAACATGCCGAGTATGCAAGGTCCGGGGCAGCACCTTCAACAGCCGCAGGACTATCAGGGCCAGCAGCAGCTGAATCAGCCGTACCAGCAGCAGCAGCCGTATCAGCAGCAGCAGCAGCAGCAGCCGAATCAGCCGTATCAGCAGCAGCAGCAGCAGCCGAATCAGCCTTACCAGCAGCAGCAGCAGCAACAGCAACCGGGCCAACCGTTCGCGCAGCAGAACCAGCAAGGAGGTCCGGGAATGCAACCTGGCGGTCCTCAGAGCACCAGCAAGCCGATGAGGGGAATACCCGCGGTACTGCCGACGGCGCAATCCAAGACGCAGCCTAACATAACGCAGAACCAACAGCAGCAACAGCAGCAGCAGCAACAGCCGCAGCAACAGAGCACGGGACCGAACCTGATGCAGAAGTTCACAGAAATGGCGGGCGCGAGCGCCGGCGGCGACATATTGTCTAAGGGCAAAGAACTGATCTTCATGAAATTCGGATTGGGCAAGTGAGGAGAAGCGTTCGCCGAGAACGTGACGACGACGGTGTCGATGAGAGTCATGATGAATGACAACGTGTTATCATTATTCTCATCGACAGCGCCGTTGTTTCTGTTTTTCCTGTTCGCATTCGAAGTCCACGTTTGACGTTTCACGTTCGATCGATTTCCCGACGAAACGTGTAAATATATCAGTATTACAACAACGTTGCACCGGTGGAAGATTCTTAACGAAGGCTCAATCTCTCGCCGGACGTTGTTGCTGAAAGTAAGGCGGACGGGAAAAGAATGTGCGCCGCTATATTGCTGCTGCTGCTGCTGATGACAATGCTGCCTGCTGTTAATAATATCGTTAATTGCTGCAAGAAGAGTAAGAAAACCTCGTTACTACTGTACAAACATTAGTCGAAGGACGAGTCTCGCGATCGAGGAGGAGAAAGAAGACACAGATTCGGCCAGGATTGCCCGAAACGAAAGGAAAGAAGAAATAAGAGGTCCGAAGTTGATAGGACGAGAAAGGATAAGAGACTGTGTGCAAGATTTCTCGAACTTGTTCTTAAAAAAATTTTCCTTTTCCGAAAAATCTTCTTCTTCCTCTCTACTTCATATTCATCTTCTTCGCGTGACGATAGGATCTTCGATCGGATACTGCTGATAAGAGAAGTTTCTTGTCGAATGTCCGTCAAAATCGTCGCTGATGTACACGAAGAATAATCTGTCTGAAATATGTGGGAGAATGTATATTAAAACACACATTACGAAATATATACATTTCGAGATTGAATAAGTACCAGTGCGCCGTGTCCTGCGGTTCGCGCGGCTGGTTTATCTCTTCGTCCTCTTCGAAATCCCGCGTCGTTACTTCGGAGCGTCACTTCAGTTTTCAGATTAAACTTCCGCTGCGATGCCGCCGATTCGTACTTGTGTTCGACAAAGAAAGACGTACGCATCCCGCGTCGACGTAAGTTCCGAGATGCTAAAGAAGCGGAAACCGAACTATTCACGTAGATCGAAGAGAAAGAAAAAGAGAAAGAGAGAGAGGCAGAGAGACCGACCTATATAGAAAGAGATAATCATATCGTCGTATGTAAAGAGTGCGGACGCGACATTTCAACTTGGGTGTGCCTTGAAGAGTCGTCTCACCCAGCGCAGCAACCAATAATCATATCTCTAATCGATAACTCTTTAGCTGTTTTTTTTCTCTTGGAAGTCAAGCGCGCGCGTATTAAGCGCGCGCAAAAGCGTTATATCGAGAGCCGTGCCGGCGCATACAAGAATAAAATAATGACGATATCTCGTCTTGACAATTTTCTCTTGTTCTCGTGTGTGTGACTGGAAGCCCTTTTTCTTCGCGTTCCTTCCACACCCTTCCGCATCCCCTGCTTTTCTATCCCTGATGCAAACCCTTCGGTTGGACCCGCACGACGAGAGGTCTCGATCCTTCGCGCTTTCTCTGCCCGCACTCGGACGAATTACTTGGAATCGAGACCGCTTGTTCGGATCGGAAGAATCGAACGGATCGACCTGAAGATCGGTTGTTCGACGGATGAACGACAACGCGGGGCTGTTTATCGCCGGACTGTTCTTGAACGGCGCACAAATCAGAAGCGAGAAAGGAATTATCGAGCGACGGCAGATATCAATAAAAAAAAAAAAAAAAAAAAAAAAAAACGCAGACTCGACCGGGTCGCGTGAATTTGCCGCGAATCGAACGATAACTATATCATAACTGTGTGTATGATACAGGCGAGATGAAAAAAAAAAAAAAGAGAGATCACAGCGTGTGTATGTACGCGTATTGAACGAGATAACGGAGTATACATATAATATGCACACACACACATACAAATACACATAGACATATATACAAATATACATATATACATATATTTAACTATTGCAAAGTGTTGTTACATCGCTACTTGTATCGTATTTTGTACAAAGTATCTTTAATTGTTTTTCTTTTGCCAAGACATCTTTAGTGAAACAAAATATGGCGGGGAAAGAGCGACGAATTTTTTCTGGGATCCATCATCACACTCATTATCGTCATCGTCATCATCGCACACCTATCACCGTAATTTTGTACTCAATTGTTGTTGTTACTCGCGCTTGTTCTTGTGCGTGTGTATATCATAGACATCTATAATGTACTAGACTGCAAGACTCTTTATATTATTTCCTAGATTGTACCGAAAATCCATGTAGGATAGAGCAGGGCTAGTTGAGCCTAGAAGCAAGTTGGGACTTGCAAATATTTACGCATAAACGAAATGCGTACGGACATGTTGATGTCTGCGTAAGAAAGCACGGAGACGAAGATTATTGCATACGCCGTCTGCAGGCGAACACGAGCGTTTTTATTTATCTATTTTTCTGCATCAAAAGTAAAATTATTAGATATCTGTTTTTTGGTCTAATTATAGTGATATGGCGGTAATTATAGTGATTAATAAAAACTAGGAGAGTTTTTTTTAACATAAGTCAGTAATGTATTTTTTGACTTTATATATATAAATATGCGCATATATTTATATATATACACATAACAAGCACTCATATATATGTACATATATTCACATGTAGTCACACATTATATACTAATACACATGTCGTAACAAGCTAACGTATATACAAGATGTCTGAGACATTCACACAGCCGAAGTGTGATGACAGATCGAGTCAATCTGAACAGAAGAAGAGTCACGTATAATTTTGCAAAATTCGCAATAATTATTAAGATATTGATTAATTGATATAAGCCGCAATAAACGCGTAGAAAGCAATCGGTTTTACTCTGGAGGCGTGTGATTTTCAGTTGCAAAAAAAATGTGCTTACTTCGTACAATCTTGCAACAAGAAACGAGCGACTAACGCGATACGGCTTCTCGCTATCAGCTGATTCTCATATACTTAATTATAGTGCCTCGATGGCCGAATTGTTAAGGCAACTTGCACGGAATGCGGATAGTCCGGATTTGATTCTTGACCAAGTTGTCTTTTTCGCAATAAATCTTGTCAATTTTACAAGAGAATAAATATATGGGTAATTTATTTAATAACTAACTATTGCGAGTTTTACAAAATTGTACATGTGACTTTTCTGTTTAGATTTGATCATTTTACCTTTACATCTTGACTGTGTCAAAAAGTTTCAGACATTTTACACGTACGACTACTTGCGATAAATAGCAGCAAAGAAGAGATGACAACATTCCATGATCGGTTACTATGTCATGTATAAATAAGTTGTACACTATATATCGGTACATCTCGAAAGTCGAAACTCGCAGTCTGGTGTAAGATGTCTACGGTGTGCACTCGCTCATCGTATGTTTTTTCGCCGACATTGAACATAGATATACGCAACGAAACGAAGCTTGAGAGCCTAGAAAAAAATAAATAAAATAAAAAGCACCGCGTGTGAAGAGAGAATGTTCATTTTTAAAAAACTTCGAAGTCGCAATATTTAACTTTTTCACCGGCCATCGGAGTTGCACATATGCGTTTCCGCAACAACAGCTTTAATTATTTTGAAAAGGAAGATGTATCTTATACGAATGTTACAATTGCATATAAATATATATATATATATATAAATATATTATTATATAAAGTTTAGAATGTTGAAATATTTAAGGATGGGAGTGAAAGACTTAAATTTGCGATGTTTTCTGAAAAAAAAAGTAATGTTGATACATTGCAGATGAGGCGACGCTGCATAACAACGTAAAGAAACCTTATGTATACGTCATTATGGACCAAAGTGAAATCTTTCACAATACAATGTTGAAATAATAATATAGTGTCATACATGAAACCTAGCTCGTTTGAGCTCCGTTTCTCTCTTGACTGCATTAGCTTGATTTACGTCACGGTAGCTCTTTTGCGATTTACACTGGTTGTTATTGTTGTTGATCAAAATATCGTATCTACTTGAATTAATAAGAATTGAGACGAGGAAAGATTATTGAGAAAATGTTCCATTCCGATCGTACATCGGTGAAGAAAGATACAATCGCGCTTGTATATTAAACAATACCGTACATGTAAAAATATTATACACACATATATGTGCAGATGCAACTCCCTAACGCGCGGTGCTTTCCTCATCAGACACCACAAGCTTATGCACGATTGATTAAATATACTCTTGCACACGCATCGAGTGAATCCGTTCGAATCAAAAGTATCACGACAGAATGGCGGCACTCGAATGTTGAAGTGGTCTTTCCTTACCTCTCTTTCATTTTCTCTCATTTCTTCGACCGTCGATTAGATCTTACGTGAAGTCGGATGATGCGTGAAAATTCAAAACGTTACGGTTTAACGCTTTTTTTTTTTTTTTTTTTTTTAAATCGCAAAATCACTTCGCGATACTTGTCAACGCTTTCTGTAACGATTCGCAACGAAATCGCCTCGCTCGCATTTTGCAATATTATTTTTATCTTGTATATTTTCCGATTACATAACTTGTACATACATATCGCATATTTGTACAAGCAAATAGAAAAGAAATTTATCGCTTTTTTCTTTATTGAAAAAAAAATTGACTACACGACAGGATACTTTGTAATAGTCAAGATGAAAGGGGAAAACTAACGCGTCACAATCGCGCCACTTTTTGTTCATTATCATTCTTTCTTCCCTTCCTTCCTTTCTCCCTTCTCCGCCACGATTAATAATCTCGTACTGTAACCACGACAGCACTTAAACTCATATCCGAATCGTAGCTTTGATTCAGGCAATGTGAAAAAAAAAGACTGATACCGAAGTTTCCAAATGTCACGGGTGTTATTATCAAGTACCAAAACACCATAGCGAGTGCGTGTATCTCTCGTATCCGTTATATGTTTCCTCGAGATTTTTTTCTGCGTTATTCTCGATCTCTACAATATATATATATGTATATATATAGCCGTGCATATAGTTCTTTCGCGCGTGCGCGAGAAAGTATATACATATTTGTTACAACCTTAATTAATTATAATAGGTGTAAAAAAGAGAGAGAAAAAACGAGAGAGAATTATTATTAGGAGCATCGACGCGAGACGCGTCGAGCGGGTTCCGGATAAGAGAGCGGATCTTCGAAGCACACAAGAGAACAAAAATCACGAAGGGAGAACAAACCGAAAAGAAAGAGGAAGCTTTACAAATGTGGCGAGCTTCAGGCTTAAACTTGCGTTACAAAGTCGCGAGGAAAAAAAGGGAAGAAAAATACAAACATTTTTACTTGTTAGATGCGTTTAGATGCAATCGTTCAAAAAAAAAAAAAAAAAAAACCGTAAACTTTCACTCGACGGATTTATTATGCCGAAGGATCTCTTGCGGATCTTTTGATATCGAGACGATTTGTAGCGAGAACATTTTTGATCGGCGAGGGAGCGGGGCAATACGCTAAGGAGAGGCAAGCAGCGCTGAATAAATAGTTTTTTTTTTTCAAACATGTTTTATTTTGATAAGTACGTTTTAGACGCGTTAAAACACATTGAGTTGACATCTGATAGATAAAACGATTAGAGTAAATTGTAATCCTGCCCTTCGACAAAATCGACGACGCTCTGTTCTGGAATCCGCGGATTTTTTTTTGTTTCGTAAGTATGCACAGCTGGCAAAGAAAAAGAACGCAATATTATTAACAAATCGAAGTGACTGACAAATGGACGATGACAGAGAAAAACTACGAATCTATCGGAGAAACGGTGTTAGACGCCAATTATTTGCTACTGTTATTCTTTCTCTCGTGTCTTGACATTTCAAGAAACGTGTCACAAAAGAAGCAGGAAGTTAGCGCAAATCGATCGAATATACATACACGTATATTGTGCATGCGTTTTAATATATAAAACGAAAAAGAGAAGAGAGAAAAAGAAGAAAGAATATTGCGCATTGTCTTTTAAGCATGCCAAAAAAAAAAAAAAAAACAGAAAAAAATGCCTGCTACGTTTGTCGTTCAGTAATCTTGCGCTTTGTTTTTCCTATGAATCGGTGCGTAACATCAATCTTTAACTCCTTATTAGTCCGAAGTGAAATATGAAACAGAGAAAAAAACCTGCTACTATTATATATATATATATGAAAAAAGGCGAGATTTAAAAGAACTCAAAAATACACACACACAATGTTATTATAAAAGATTAATTAATAAACGAATCTTGTTTGTTGTTACTTCTCTGGTTGTGCCTCGTTGTGAACTAACGTGCACACACACACGCCGTCGTTCCCCATCGCATTGTTATAGTTTTTTCGCGATGTTTCTTCTTCTGTTTTGAAATTACGTTGTGTTCGCGAGATATCTAGACGACAGCCTAAAATGTTGCGGAAAGTAACGGATCCGAGAAACCAGAATGCTCAGTTTTTATTTCGTGCATAATAATACAATAGTAGACGAGAATATTATGTGATATATCATTAGATGTTACATAGCTTGTCGCAGAATAATTTATGGACTAAAGTTATTCCAGTTGAGTTAGCACACGCCGAGCGGATAACGACAAGATCTTGTTAAACGACGATGCACAGTCTTATGTGTCTTCCTCCCAGACGGTTTCCGTGAGTATGGCGATGTTGTCCAGGCCTCGCATCGGCGCGTACTCGAGCGTCCACATCAGATTAGTGAAAACCACTGCGGCAGAGTTTATGAATTATTATAATAATTTGATTAACGAGAAAAAATCATCTATCATCACCGCTCTATTGGCAATTCGCAGAGTATGTGAGAACATAATGAGAGAAGAAATTCGACGCATTATGAAGTTTGAATAAAAAATTTGCGAGATTGTTGTTCATTTCACTCGTTCGCTCGCAACAGTGTTTGACAATATTATATACTTTCGCCGACAATACTGAAATTTTATAATTATTTAGAAGATTGGAGAAATATATATATATTGAACTTCACACGTACATTTTTTTGAAAGTTCATTATTCGACATTTATAGATAAAATTTATATGATAGATAATGAGAATTTAAGTGCAAATTTTATTTATGATAGTCCAATATTTTGTTTGCATACATACGTGTGTGTGTGTGTATATATATATATATGTATACACACGCCATTATGTAAATCAGGAAATACGGAACATCTTTGCGTATCTCAAATTAATTATTCATTATATGTTATACATAAAATAATAAATATTTGATTAATTTTTATTACGTAACAAAAAGATGGTAAACATTTCATTAAATTTATTAAACTGTCGTTCAATAATCCTGCGCTCTGTTTTTTCTGTGGATCGCTGCATAACTTTTCTTTGTTAGTCCGAAGTAAAGTAAGAAACAGCTGCTATCATATACGTATGCAATATATTTTGTTGTGTAACTTATGAAGAAAATTTGTCTGACACATTTGTCACAAAAGATGCTCCGTGTCTCAGTCGATTCTGACGGCTTCAACATGTATTTGACAAGACTTACGCATCTCGCCCTGTTGCAAGTCGGCGATCAGCTCGGGACACGAGCTGTTGCAGGGATTTATGGGAGTGAGCCTGAGCTGTGTCGCGCCACGGAGTTGCGCGAGCGCAATCAGCCCGGAATCGAGCTCGACCTTTTTGTAACTCGGGCTGTTGTAGTCCGAGGACATGAGCACCCAGTTGAAGTGCGCCGGCGAGACCGTGCTGGAGAGAAAGTACGGCCGTTGATAGTATTTCCTGAGTACTTTCACGGCGTTGATGTCGCAATTTTGCCAGTGGACAAACCACTTCGCCACCTCGGGTGCGTGCACGCGACGCAGAAATGCCGCGAGATCGGAGGAACCGGTACGCAGATTGGAAGTCAGAGCGCACGGTACCGTTTCCATCAGTCGCTCGTTCTCTAGATAGAGCTGTTTAAAAAAAAAAACAATATTGTTCGAGTCTACGAAATATCAATTCAAAAGAGTATCAATATCAATCAAAAATTTCTTTCCAAACGCGCAGTTTCTCTTACGTGAGTAATATTGTCGAACCAGAAGTAATCGGTATTCATGACTGCCCAGGAGTCCATCGCGTCGGTGATGATTGCCGGTGCATCGCGGCTCAAATAATTGTCGACCAGATTACGATATCGCACGTCCGACAGACGATCAATCGTCTCTAGAGCCTCGCAAGTCTGCGAGAAAGATAGAAGATTATTGTTGTTGAGATTTAAGCGCCAATCTTAAATATAACAAATTTATCGGATATTTGTAAATAAAAACTGTCTCTTTTATATTTTACATTACAAAATTCTTTTTCTGAACAACATTTGGGGACCGTAAATAAAGCGTACCACGCAATCTTCCTCCGTGATGGTGTAATCGTTGTAAAAGGGATTGTTGATCATGCAATTCTCGTAATAGAGCGGCTGCCAATTCCAGATCGGCAGCACTTTGATCAACAACAGACGACTGAGAGCGGTAAAGTGAGTGCCAACGAAATCAAGCTGTGCCGCGAGACACGACAATGTGCCCAACACTATCAGAACGAGCGTGCCACGAAAGACAAGCTGCAACCATGAGCGACGCATCGCCGCCACGAGCGGTTGGCAAATAATATCCATCTCTTCCTCGGTGAAACCTGCCTGTTGACAATATCTACAAAACGATTTTATTATAAATATTAAAACTCCATTACATAGTAAATTACAACAAGAGTACGTATTATATTTATTTATAGAATCTAACTTGAAGCACTGTATTATTTGTCGAAACGAAAAGTATTAGCGAACATTTAGAAACAGTTTCCGAAAAGAAAAAAAAAAGAGAGAGAAAAAAATGTCAAGATGTTGTTGTAACAAAGTTATCTGAAATGTAATCTCTTTGATAAAGCTTGTTTAGGAATTAAAACAATGATGTTTTATAAAAAAAAATGTGTCTAATTTCTGAAAAAATAGCATGTGTTTTTTAATTCAGAAATTCGCAAATTCGAAAGACTTGAATTTTTTTTAAATATTTGTATATTTATTATTAAAAAGCGCCACAATGTCGCGTACAAGGCGGCAATTTGAAAGTTTTAATGACTTTTTACTGATATATGATTCTTTTCATAAAAACTTTTATATGCGTGCAGAAATTGAATAGTTACTTGTAGAAAGAATTCAGCTCGTCGTCAATCAGTTTCACCTTCTCGGAATGCGTCATATCGTGCTGTTCCTTAGTGTACGCCTTACGTGGTGCTTTCACGCACTTGCTGCTCGACATTGTTATGTTTTCTTCCACGTCGATATGTAAGATAATACGTTTTCGTACGTCACGAGCGCACAAAAATTCAGCAAGAGCAGAGGCAGAACCCGAAATGCATCAAGCCCGATGCTATTGAACGTAAGTTGTCTCATGCGCACGCTCATATCTTCCTACGCGGGTATATTGATCGGTACCGTTGGCGCATGAACGCGACAAACCCGAGATTTTTCGAAATAGAGATATTGTTTTTTTCTTTTACACACATATATCAAACACATACACACAAGACTTAAAATATGCAGTTTTTAATAAATGTTTATTGTTGAACTTGTTTGAAAACATATTTTTTCGTTAATTGAATGTTCGAAGAAGGAACGATTTCCTGTGTTTTTAAGAAAATCTGAGAATAGCATTATTCCACGATACATAAAGCAACAACAACATAAAGCACCAACACATGAAATATGTATGTTTCTTTATCGCTTTTGACTCGACAAACTTTTACATCTCAAAAAAATAAATGATCGTGAAATTTATTTCAAAACTATAAAAATCGTTCGTATTTTTTATATCTCTGAAGTAGTCAAAATGTTGACACTTTCTATCATAAATATTCAAAAAACTAAAAAAACGATTATATAGAAATCAAATCAAAATTCAAAGCTGTCGAAATGAAAATATAGAGAATATAGAATCAAAAATTCTGTTTGTAAAATAGATTAAAAATAGACAAACAAATAGATCAAAAATAAACTAAAAAAAAAATTATAAGACCTTGTAATTAATACTTTTTAAGACTTTTTGATACACAAGATGTGTTTTCTAACATTCCTATTATTTCTCACATTGACAGAGCGTATTTATCATATACAGCTAATTATAAGAGAAAGCTTTGGCCTTTATTTTATATTCGTATGCAAATTGAAGTGCGCAATAAAACAACAAGTTTAGGTGAATCTTCAAACCATCAGAAGTGCTCATAAATATTTACATTTATCGAATATTTATATGTTTTCGAGGAATCTCAAATTTCTGTGAATTGCCATTTCAAGAGAGAATAAACTCGTAAAAAAATCCGAGTCCACTTGGACAGGTTCTAACTTGGAATCTCGGGTTGCTAGTTCCGCACAGGCCATTTAAGCTATATATTATTCTGCAATACGACCAAAGTCTGTAGATACTCAAACTATCTCGCTCGACTCGCACACATCTGGATCTCCATGTGCTGCGAGAAAAGTCAGCTTACGCATCCTCGCAGCTCGATCGTTTCCATAAACCAAGATGTAACATATTTCAATATAACAGTAAAATAAATTAATATAACAGATTAATAAATTAATAGATTAATAAAACTAAATAAAGTAATATAACTGAATTGATAACTGACGCGAACTTTGAGATAGAAATGTATCTACATTTAGAAAGTTAGGTTTATTGCTTCTTATGTATCTACAAAATCAATTATATCAGATCGTGAGATTTTGGACAATGGAAAAATTTTAAATATCTCAGAAACTAAAAACACTAATAAAAAAATTTAATTACATAATACTTTTCTTAATAAAACAAAAAGGGTTTTAATACTGAATGTAATAATAAAAGACAAAACTTGTTTGTTTCTTTTGTATGTACGTTTAATCTGTTATGTCATTACATAATACAGAATCTGAAAATATACTTTTTTTGCCAAAAAGCCTAGAATATTGTGCGTTATACAATATAAAAAACAATATTTTCATGAAAAATATATAATTTGACATATGTATTCTCGACAAAGAGAAATTGATAATAACGCTTTATTTAGATGATACTTAGTGCCAATTAAAAAATATATATATGTATATATATATATAGCAAATACAGCCTACATATGTATTGTCGTTTGCTCTTTCTATGGCGTGACTGCAATTATACTCCGTGCAAAAAGCAGACGCTTGCATAGATAACAGTGAACAGCGTATTAGCCGGCTTATCGGACAGTTCTACAGCATTTTTTGATATTATAACGGTTTACAATATAACTAGACTAGGTTGCACACTCGATACATTTTTCTTCTTATTTTATAATATATTTTACTGAACAACATAAGATTAATATATTTTTAAAGTCAGAGTGTTAACTAAATATGAACTTTTCCAAATATATGTATAATTGAACATTATTTAAATAAATAATAAATAAGAATAAGATATAATAAGGTTGTATGAGTAACGTGAACATGTGCGTAATTGCGCTTTGAAATACTTTTATACCAACTGCAATATGCAGATATGTATTTTTTTTTGTTTCTTTTTTTTCAAATTAAAAGAAATTATTTTCATTCTTGATAAATTTAATGAAGGTTTTCTTATAAATCACCACAGCGCTATTTTGTCTTTTTAAAGCAAAGAAAACTTTCTGCAACAACTTTAGAGCGTTCATTTAATTCTTTTGTATTAAACTTTATACAATATATAATAGAGATCGTTGTTTTTTCTTTTTTTTCTTTTTTTTTTTTTTTTTGAAGTTGTCCTCCTTTTCTGCGCAGAACTGCCGATAAGTCGATGATTTCTTTATATTTCCGGTCGTGATTAGATCTCTTGATTATTGGCCGACCAGGATCTGATACTCGGGGAAGGCAACTTCAGCACCGCCAAAAGGTATGTAACAAACGCTGTGAGAAGGTTGCACTTTGCCAATGGTCATGGCACCCTCGTGCTCCACGCGACCGATGAACAGCGGCTCGCCGTCTTCAGTCTCACCTCCTGGAATCGCGTTGTGCGGAATGTTGCCGCCGCTTGTCGGCACCCACGTGGACTTGCAGTTGCACAGAACCTAAAATTGCAAATCAGAAACTCTTTGTAACAAACAAACATTCTTTATTTTCAAATTCACGAAAGAGATAATCAATTTTAATTAATTATTTTACAGTTTTTCTTCTTAAAATGTTTTCGTCACATTATCCTGCAATTCGGTTTCTGTTGCTTACTTGGTAATCAGTCTTTCCATGCTCCTCGCCGCCCCAAGCGACGTAGCAGACGGAGTGGCTAGGCTTCACTTTGCCAGGAATGAGAGCACCCTCGTGCGAAGCCCTTCCGACGAACAAGGGTTCGCCGTCGTTTCCACCCTCAATCGCACCAGGCGGCACCATTCCGCCGGACGCGTCGCACCAGCACATACTTCCTGTGTCTTCCAATGGCGCGGACGGTTTCGTGCCAGGATCTACAATCACGTTCTTACGGTTACAACGCGAAAATAAATACTTGAAATTACAAACAGAATTTATAAAAACAAAGAGAGATCAATGTGACAAGAATAAAAATAAAAAAACACTGATATAATAGTTTATCTATCCTTATCCACTCAAGCTATCTCATGCGTTTGCGTGTGTATATAAATCGTATAAAACTTCCATGCAATTTTATGTATAATAAAATGCAAGTTTAAAATTTAAATCAAAAGTAAAACCAAAGACCACACCTACACATACACACCAAAACTTACAACTAAGAGAAAAGAATGTGCCAAACTTCGTTTAAGCGAATTATTCATTAACAGGATGTCTAAAGCTCTTAAAAAAAAAAATGCAAAAAGAGGTTTTTAAAAAGCCTTTTTTAGCGGTTTTGTGTTCGCTTGCGTGAGGATGTGCTGTACAGATTTCGCAGCCAAGCAAAGAAATTTATCTCTCAACGATCTCGAGATCAATTGCTAATTTGTCAATCACAGCAAAAATTTTTTTTTGGGCTTGCATTGATCTCGGATCGTCGGGACTTGTCCAGTAAGACGTTATTACGTTGTTTTTTATTGGTAGCGGGATAATGTTCGAAATGGAGTTTCCATTTTCCGGTCGCGCCCCAACCGGTGCGCACCCCTACGTAGCTCACGCCAAGAGGATTCGGATCTCGCCATTCCATGAGGACGGCACCGTTCTGACCGCCCGATCTGACCGTGATGAGACCGCCGAACCACGTGATCGAGAATCTCTTGTACTGGCGCTCATTGAGCAGATTCGGAGTGTTCACGCGCACCTAACGAGTGGAAAAATTTCCTGTGTGTGAGCAAAGTGTGTCGCATATCGCGCGAATCAACAAATACGATCATTGAATTCGGAAACGGTTTCACTTTTCAATCATCGTTTCATTAACATACACGAAAATCGTTTCAAACCTTATCGGGCTGTTTGCGATCGTATCTAATAACCGACGCTTGGTTTTCCCACCCGCCGAGCATGATCTCGTACATGGGACTCGATTCGCCCTTCCGGTTGGTCAGCGCTATGTGCCCGTTGCTCTTAGCTTGCACGTCGATCAGCACCGAGCCGCTTCGCACGGCATGGAACTTGTACTCGAGCTTGTTAGGAGTGATCAAGGGTTTGCGACCTTACGGTGAAAGTAAAAAAAAAAAATTTCAAAATAATTCAGTTGTGCGAAAACTTGTAAGACTTGAGAAACGAACGGCTTGTGTACTGCCTGATTAAAATAAATAAGAAAAGTGTGTGTTTATACATAATACAAAAACAAAACATATTTTCCTATATATAAATAAATACACGTGTGTATGTACATCGTATTATCCTCAACGTATCGTCTCGCTTTTGCATCTGAAAGATTTTCATTTCATGTTGTCGTCGTCTTGCGTTTTTCCTTGCTTGTTCAAATCTTGATATATTTTTTACATCAGAGCCAAAAGCAGGGGGAAGCAGAGGAGTAAACAACCCTGGTTTTGATCGATATGTGTGTGGATGGTTTAACGATAATCAATTGTGCCTACAAAAAGGTGCCTACTGATCTAGCTAAACATGCTGTGTATCGACATGTTGGATTAAGAAAATGCTTCATTTTCTTGATACTCTGTTAAACATACATGAAGCATATTCTTCGTGTATATTTAACTTCGCGAGAGTGAACATGTTCAAATAAAAACGAAATCTGTTATCTTAATCCATTATCGATAACGTGTGTCTCAAGGGAAAATTCGTGCGCTAAGAACGAAATCCAAACATATTCAGGCAGAAAAGCAGTAAGACCTCTAAGGGATCTAACAAGTCACGTGCGACTACGTCACGCAAGACTTCGTGTGCGAATGCTCAAAAAAACATTACGTACAACCACCGTAATCGGCCGCGCCGCAGCATATGGCTATGTGCGAACCGCAATAAGTTTAGCAGATCGTCCGTAATCCGTTAAGAGACCAGAAAGAAGATCGTTGGAAGATCGGAAAGACAAGTATGAGCGTGTGTTTAAGAGAATAATAGAGATAAAATAGAATTATATCACCCTACAAAAAACTAATTATTCTACAAATTTTTTTTTTCTGCTTTTTATATTTTATATCTACTAATATATCTGTATTTTTTCTACGTTATATAATAATCTGTAAAACAAAACGGATTAGAGAAATATTCTGAAAATTAGAAAAGCGATTAGAGTTTTGTAAAAGAAACCGCGAGTTCTTAAGAGAGAGATCGCAGCTGAATGGAAAACTTCGTTTACCTTCGATGAGCCAATCGCCGGTGGCACCCCAGCCGGTGCAGACACCGAAGTAACCGATTCCGAACGGTTCCGGATCGGCGTAGCTCAGGAACGGAGCCGATTCATTTTCTTTGCCCACTGAGAGAACTCCATTGTCCCACCTGCGCAGTTTTATGCAAATAAACGCATATGTCACATGTATGTTTACGTGTTGTGAGTAAAATGAAATATTTTTATCTGACTGGAGAGAGAATTAAACTTTATAATGACTTTTGTCTCTCTCCCTCTAATGAAAATATTGACTACCTGATCCAAAAGCCGCGATATTCATCTCCGCTCAAAATACCAGGTGTTTCCACTTCAGCCACGTCTGGTTTCGTTCTGTTCTTGCGCAAGACGGACTTGCTGTTGCTCCATCCTCCGATAAAAACCTGAGAGAACAATGAGAGAAACAATTATTATTCATATACACGTTCCGTTTCACGCACACATTTTAGTTACTGGCTCGTAAATATTTTGCACACAAAAGGTATGATATGTATAAAATTTCTCTCACCTCGTACATCGGATCTCCCTCTTGAGGCGACGTTGTAAGTGCGATGTGAGCATCATTCGGCGCTTTTACTCGGAGTTGTATTTGCCCGGCCGTCACGGGATAGAAGTGGTACTCCAATTTGTCCTCGGTGGAAAGCGCTGGAATGTGCGAAGAGAGATCTATTTATAGAAACTGAAAAAACAAATTGGCGAATCGACTGATTCGTTTCCGTCGTCGTGCGCGCTCCTTGAAAATCACGTTCGATAGATCGACTCTCATCGAACGAGACAAAAATCAAAGTCGCAATTAATCGCGACTCGCAAGTGGATTGATGATTTGTTACATTATATGAAATCAGCGCGTGTACGAGACGCCCAATGCCGAGACATCTTGACGCCAGTCCGACCTTGTTTCGTTCACCAAGCACTCAAACAAAAAGTAGGACAGTGCAGGACTCGATCGATATTATCTGTATAGTGATAATCCTGTATGTTAGCTTGCACGTTATTACATCTCGCGATTCGATCGTAATTTTAATGATGGGCCTACAAAGACCTTCGTCTGAACTACATGTACGCGCACACGCAAACGCCCACGTCGTTTGGTTTTAGAGCCTCGTAAAAACGGAACATTATCAATGTTGTGTTAAACGCATATGAGCGCATCAAGGATGAGTTACTGCATTTGTCAGCAATAATTGTCGCGATAATATTATCGTCACATCGGGATGTTGCATAAATAATAACATAAGTATCGCAAATCCAAAGAGCTCTTCCAAGAATTATCACGCGCAAAATATGTCTCCACTACTTTCTGTTATTTCGATGAAATTATGCGATCGCTATTTGTTTCGATGACGACAAGGTGGGTTAAATAAACGACGTAACTTTCTGCTGAAAGATCTTCTCACTACAATTGATGAATGTAATGCTATTCTTGGTCCAATGAGATCACGTATTATAGTGGCAATCTCTTGATTCATCTTGAAAAGATAATACACACGTTATGTATCAGCGACTACCGATCGGCTCTAAAAAATTTCCTTTTTTTTTTTTTTTTTTTTTTTTGCAGTTACATGGCATCACCGATGTGATATCAATGTGATTATTGCAGTTCCCGATTCATTTGTTGCACAATATTTATTTTGCAAAGCGACTAGGTTGGTATCTCTTCGAGGTCACGTAAACGCGATAGTAGCATAAAATGTTAGTCGCGCATAAATGTTTTTTATCTTGTTTACTACATGTAAATCCGCTATGCGTAAACCGAACGGTCGCGAACGGAAAGACAAACGTAACGATTATAAATAGTTAGGTGTGTTGTCGTTAATTTTTACCGCTGACATCATACCACCACGTTGCTAACGAAGAACGGATTGCACGCGAGAGAGCGTTTGCGCGCGGCATATCTATCTAGTTATCGAAAAGAAATTTAGGCTCTTCTTTTAAAATTACACGCGTGTTACGCGAACGGAATACACGGCCGATAAATATCAAAATCGAGGTCAACGTTGGTAGGATCTAACGCCATCGCGCTATGATGTCATTCTTATTTCGAGGTCAATTACTTCACATTGCGTGCGACGTTCGCGAATAATCGGCATGCCACGTCTGATCTTTCGATATCGCTTTGGATTACGGTGATACGAAAAGGTCACTTGCTCGGAGAGTAACGAAAATGCGCGTTAAAATATCCGTTAATTTCGTTAATTACGTGTATCTTGAAGATATTAGTTAGAATCTAAAATCGGAATAATTTTACTGTTCGATTATGTTCCACGATCTTTGAAGCTAAGTTACTTTGATATCTGCAACACCAAAAATACGCGCTACTTTCTCGAAGAGATTCCGATTTAACTGTACAGATAAAAGTATTTTTTGCAGTATCAGCTGCAATTAAACTCTACAGTCTTTCTCTCTCTATAGATATGCATATATAAAGAGATGATTGTCGCCAACGTCTCAAGATTGCAACGGCTCGAATCGCGTTAATTTCGCGTGGCAAATTGATTAGCTTTTATAATGTGGGTCGGTACTTTGCTCGCAATTAACATAACGACGTGAAAATTAGAGCTATTGAGCTCACTTTGCATTGCGCAACTACGAAAGTCGTGGCTGATATTCAGCGCATCTCTGTATTAGCAAAACTCCCACACACACACACACACACACACACACACACATTTTATATATCGCGTAAAACTTTGTACATCGCTTGCAATAAATTACATTTTGCAATCCTTAACGAAACAATTCCATGCGTTCATCAGTTGCAACGGAATGGAACGTAACCGGACAATTCTGGTGATTTGGGCGCGTGTTAGGAGAAACTGATGTTTGCCACAACATCCGAGCGGCTTCGCGTTAAATAGCTGCACGCTAGTTGATTCTGATACGGTAAATCGTGGTCGATAGCTCGGCAACGACTATTCACGTAACCATTCGCCGTCGTGCTGCCACTGACCTCGCATGGCAACTGTCGTTCCTCACCGGCAAGGTGGACCATGGCTCGGCGAGAATATACAATGTGTTCCACTTCATGATCACTAAACTGTCCACCACAGCAGGTGCTGCTATTCGTCTCTAATTTACCTTCTTTCGAATTATACGTGTTTTAAAGTTTTTTTTAATATACTAATACGTAGATATAACTCTGTGAGATCTTTGCACACACGTAGAATATATTTCAATATCTCGTATAATTCGAGAGAATATGTCTCTGATTTACAACCAATTGTAAAAATAATATATCCGTATGTAAATCTTCTCGTTCTTCGCTATCTTCGGTTATCGTGAAGGACTCGTATCGCTTTTCAAGCAATACTTGTCTTGCATTTCCTTTGCATCGATTACATAACAATATATATATATATGTAACACGTTTTGTTCGAACGTGGTTTGACGTATAATAGACGATTGTCGTCGTAAAGCTTTCAACGCTCCGATCTTTACACGACTTCCTGAAAAGGAGCTCGCACGATCGAAAGATTGTCTGTTTTGCGGACAAAGGTTACGCGTAATTGGACAGCCGCGCGATAGAAACGTTCCAATTTCACGGTAAGGTGGGTGGGAAAAGTATCCAGGATTTTCACGACGTTGCTGCAAACGATTCCGCTCTGATAACATCTACATATAAATATCATGTCACGAAGGCGGAGAGATAATGAAGGGAACGTGAATTCTTAAACGCCTCGCAAACACACGGTGTGCGCAGTTGTTTGTTCACGAGAGGACTCGGAATATATATGGAAAGACGTCATTTGCGAGAAAACGATAAATTGTTCTCACAATAGAAACGATTTGTAAAAGAAAAACGACTATAGATGAGAGGATGCTCGACGAAGACGGCAACGCTGTTGCGAAACACAATCTGGAATTACACAAGAACGTAGAGGAACCGCATTCTTATGACGTGATTGAGTAGAAGCTGTTATACTTGACGAGAGTCTTCGTGTTCAGAGAATATATCTATTCAGATCTACTCTCGCAATTTCCATCGCGATAATTGTAAAAATTTTCTCACGTTAAACAATTCGCACTTTTCTTTTTATAGAACCGGCATATTAATGCAAATATTACGACAAAATTACGTAAAAATATATCTCACGTATGCAATGTGCGTGTCTTACAATGTCTAATGATTTCATTTAAACAACCTTAAATTCCTCGCTTTGATTTTATCAAATTGACACGCGGCGCGCGCAGGCGCGTCATTTGAATAACAATTCAACTCGAACGAAAAGTTTTTCAAGATTTTTTCATCGCAAAACTTAATTTGCGGAAGATGCGACACTTTCAATTCTTCTGCAAGTTCTTCGAAAATGTTTAACTATCCTAAAAAACTCGGTCAGGCATTCAAGTGCGTGACGCGTGAAATATCGAAACGCCGGCCGGCTAACCGGCTTGTCAAAGCGAGCAGCCGCGCCCCATCTCTATATTTAGAGACCCGTAGAAAAGTAACGACGCGCTACGTGTCTTCTTTCTACGAAGAGCTACCTGCTATTTCTTTCATCTAAAAGCTTTTTCTCTCGCCTTCGACCCGGTCGCTATAAAACGAAATGACGCGTTGCGTCGAGAAGAAAGACGTTCTCGACGACAGCTGCAGTTGAAAATGGTGTGTTCACAATGTGTCTTTCAGCTTCTAATCAATTGTCGACTAAAAATAAAACAACTTGCAAAACAGTTTGTTGTAAATTAGACGATAGTGCAAATTCGTCATTTTGGAGCAATGTCAGAACTACACTGCGGTGTTATGCAATGTCGCGCGTTCGATTTAAAGTCGAGTCTTCGTGTAAAAGATCTCACCGCAAAATAATTGATCGATGAAACAAATTATTCGTATCTTGTAACATAATTAACACGTGTGACATTCGAGACTGCGTAAATAACGTAACAAAAATAATTCAATAATATAAAAAAGTCAAGCATGCTTGATCTCGTATTTTAAATATAAATTAACATTTTAATAACAAAATTTATATGTATAGAAAATAGTAGACGAAAAAATTGAAACACTCACAGACTGCCATGTTGTTTTTCTGGATGTGTATAAAATCGTTCGCGCTTTTAGAAGATGCGAGGACACCACGATCCGTGCACTGCGAAGATAGAATTCGTACTGCGACGCGGCGCACAACTTTGACGTGTATACCGGTCGTCGCGGTGCATGCGCTATAATATTATAGAAGTACAATGTATGTACGTGTTTGACGCGTTCCGCCAGTGCTGTGAATCTACAGCACACGTGACGTGAACTATAGATCTTTGGCACAAGCAGTGAGAAATATTGAAACGTGCTACAGTCTGTGCGAATGATAATTACCAGTTAGGATGAGTCACCGCGGATCAGCGACGTAGATCCGTCGAATTCCGATGCGTTATGCGCTCCAGAAAGATCTTCCGCATTGGATCCGATTAATTGTGACGTCAAGTCCAAATAAACAACTCAAAACATCATGACTAAAAAGAATTTGTATTTCTTAATGATATAGCGATTAAATGTTAATTATTATTTATGACTCATCGCAAGTGTAATTAAATACACGTTTGGATGGAGAAAAGTCAGTACAAGTCGATATTGCGCGCAATCCATGATTCATTAAATAGTAATGTAATATTTTTAATAATATCTGCGATATAGCGTGTTCGACTAAACAACAAACAGCACACATATTTATCATTCTCGAACGATGATTTCATTTAAATGATCTCATAATAACTTGTATAGTGAGGGTAGATAAAAGCTTTCTCCGTTCCAGTTTGCAATTCCTATAAGCATCACGTAACGAGTTGACGGCATACGCAGTAATAAAACTGTAAAATAACTCTCCGCAAAATCAATGCGTGCTTGATTTCCAAAAATGTCACATGATTAATTGAAGAATCGCTCAAAATTGTCGCGCAAAACACATTTTTTACGTAAAAAGTTTGCGCAAAAATGTAATACGCATTAAAGATATAATTTATGCAATATATATATAATTTATTTGTAACGATGTGCATCGTTACGGCCGGGACCGACCATCCGTCCCGGCCTAAAACACGGCGCTTAGCGCCAAATAAAACTAGAAACAAGCGTATATTAAAATATACGCCGACGGCCGCGCGCCGCCCGCACCGCGCGGTTTCCCGCGCCACGAAGCGATCTACGCGCC